CTTCCATGCTTTTTTCAAGCCCAGCTAGTATCTTTATAATCGTCATTCTGAACTCTACTTCCGACATCTTACTAATGTCTGTACTGATTATGTCCCAGGCAGTCGGTTCTGCCTCTTGTTCTTTTTTTTGAGGTGAGTTTTTCCATCTTGTCATTTCGTCCAGAGGAGAATAGATGAATGAGAGAACAAAATGCTAACAGTGTAACAACGACCCCAGAAAAATATACACTAAACAAATCAGAAGAGACCTGAAACCGGGGGAAAAGAAAGGGAAAGTAAGAAAAAAGAAGAAAAGAAAAAGAAAAAGAAAAAAAAAAGAATATGATCAAATATAATCAGGCTGGTTAATAGATCAGTGCCACACACTAGATTATGGGCATATTTTGGTCTGTTAGAAAAAACTGCCTCCCAAAATTTTAAAGAATGAAAAACTTATATATGTACAAAAATAAGGGTAAATATGATGAAGGGATGGAATATGACTGTAGAGATGAAAATTATAAAAGATTTTATAAAAGGAATTGATAAGATAAAAAGTTGGTTGGAAAAAGGAAGGAGAAATTAAAAAAAAAAAAAGAGAGAGAGAATGTGATCAGGCAGGAGACTAGAACAAAGCCATACACTAGAGATTTACGGTATATTTTGGTCTGTTAGAAGAAACTGTATCCCAAAATTTTAAAGAGAGAACAACCTATATATATATACCAAAGATAAGGTTAACTACAATGAAGGGATAGAATATGACACTAAAAATGAAAAATAAAAAAGATTTTTTAAAAAAGGGATTGATAAAGATGTTGGTTGGAAAAGGGAAAAAGAAAACTTAAAAAAATAGAAAAAGAAAAAAATTTTAAAAATTAACTTTGAAAGACTAAAGAATTGGGGAAAAAAAGACATGAATTCTATGTGCTGTATTCCCATAGTGCTGGCGTTCTGCCTAATTGATCAGTAAACTTGGTTCTTGGCTGGCTGTTTCTGCTGATCTTCTGGGGGAGGGGCCTGTTGCCATGGTTCCCAAATGTCTTTGCCAGAGGCGGAATTGCCCCCCCTTGCTGGGTTCGGGCTAAGTAATCTGCTCGTGTTTGGTCTCCGGAGCTTTTGTTCCCTACAAGCTTTCCTTACAGCTTTGGAGGACGAGAGTGAAAATGGTGGCCTCCCAATCTCCACCCCGGAAGAGCCGAGAACTCGGGGTCCCGCTCCTCAGTGTGCCCCCACATAAAAGCAGTCAGTCACTCCCATCTCCCTGGTCTCTGGCTGCACTCCGTGCTCACCTGGGCTGTGACTGAGCATTTCTATCTCTGACACCTGACCCCATGTGGAGTCTCCAAACCCAGCAGATCCCTGCACGCCTGTGCCCCTCCTCCCGGGGGAGGAAGGAGAGTCTCCGCGGATCTGCCACTTTTTGGGTCCAGGCTGGAGGAGCAGTGGCCCGACTGTGTCACAGATCTTGGTTTATGGCCACCCCGAGCTGAGAGCCCACTCCTCGGCTCCGTCTCTGCAGCCGGCTTCCCTGCTCCAATACCTGGGAGCTCTGCCGCACTCAGGCACCCCAGGTCTTTCTGTGACCCCGAGGGTCCTGAGACCACACTGTCCCAGCAAGGGTTCCATCCCCTGCTTAGCCACTGGAGCGACGTCCCTCAGCAGAGCCGACTTCTAAAAGTTCCAATTTTGTGCTCCGCGGCCCTAGCACGTGCCAGTAGTGGCTGACAGAGGCCCCCTCCCCCGCCGTCTATCTTCCCGAATATCGCCTCGGATTCACTTCTCCGCACGTCCTACCTTCCAGAAAGTGGTCGCTTTTCTGTTCAGACAGTTGCTGTTATTTTTTTCTTCGGTCTCCTGTTGAGTTCATAGGTGTTCAGAATGGTTTGATCCCTATCTAGCTGAATTCCTGGGACCAGATGAAATTTAGGTTTCCTACTCCTCTGCCATCTTGCTCCTCCTCCTCAAAAGCTTTTTATCTTGATGAAACCCCAATAGTTCATTTTTGCCTGTTTCCCTTGCCTTTGGAGACCTGTCTAGCAAGAAATTGCTGTGGCCAAGGTCGAAGAGGTTGCTGCCTGTGTTCTCCTCAAGGATTTTGATGGATTCCTGTTTCACATTTAGGTCTTTCATCCATTTTGAGTTTATTTTTGTGTGTGGTGTAAGGAAATGGTCCAGTTTCATTCCTCTCCAAGTGGCTGTTATTCTCCCAATACCATTTGCTGAAGAGACTGTCTTTTTTCCATTGGATATTGTTTCCTGCTTTGTTGAAGATTAGTTGACCATAGAGTTGAGGGTCCATTTCTGGGCTCTCTATTCTGTTCCACTGATCTATGTGTCTGTTTTTGTGCCAGTACCATACTGTCTTGATGATGACAGCTTTGTAATAGAGCTTGAAGTCCGGAATTGTGATGCCACCAGCTTTGGATTTCTTTTTCAACATTCCTTTGGCTATTTGGGGTCTGTTCTGGTTCCAAACAAATTTTAGGATTATTTGTTCCAGCTCTGTGAAAAGTGTTGATGGTATTTTCATAGGGATTGCACTGAATGTATAAACTGCTCTGGGTAGCAAAGACATTTTAACAATATTTGTTCTTCCAACCCATGAGCATGGAATATTTTTCCATTTCTTTGTGTCTTCCTCAATTTCTTTAGTGAGTGTTCTATAATTTTCAGAGTACAGGTCCTTGACCTCTTTGCTTAGGTTTATTCCTAGGTATCTTACCATTTTGGGTGCAATTGTAAATGGGATTGATTCCTTAATTTCTCTTTCTTCTGAGTGTATAGAAATGCAATTGATAACTGTGCATTGATTTTATATCCTGCCACTTTGCTGAATTCCTATATGAGTTCTAGCAATTCTGGGGTGGAGTCTTTTGAGTTTTCCACATAGAGTATCATGTCATCTGCAAAGAGTGAAAGTTTGACTTCTTCTTTGCCGATTTGGATGCCTTTTATTTCTTTTTGTTGTCTGATTACTGAGGCAAGGACTTCTAGTACTGTGTTGAACAACAGTGGTGAGAGTGACATCCCTGTCCTGTTCCTGACCTTATGGGAAAAGCTCTCAGATTGTCCCCACTGAAAATGATATTCACGGTGGGCTTTTTGTAAATGGCTTTTATGATATTGAGGTATGTTCCCTTTATACCTTCACTGTGAAGAGTTTTAATCAAGAAAGGATGCTGCATTTTGTTAAATCTTTTTTTTTTTTTTTGCATCTATTGCAAGGATCATATGGTTGGGAGGCAACTTTAAACATTAGATTGAGTTACCAGAGAATATCTCTATAAAGAAGCAATATTTATAGTGAAATCGAAATGGGAAGAAACTGAGATGCAAAGATCTGGAAGTTTCTGGGCAGAAGAACCAGCAAGTAGAAAGATCTGAAATGTGCATGATCTTTGTTAAAGACATAGAAAAAAAAATGAATGTGGCTGGAACATGGTAAACCTAGAGAATGGTCTGAGATGTTAGAGAAATAGCTAGGGGCCAGATCATAAAGACCTTCATACACAATGAGACAAAAGAAGGATTTTATAAGCCGTCACTCCATGGAGAATGGCTTTTAGGAAATTCAGAGAGAATACACGGACAATGTTCTACTGCTACAGAAATCCAGGAGAGAGGATTCTAAGTACATATTTTGGAGCAATCTCCCTGCATTTCTAGGTTAGTTTCTGGCATATGGCAGGCACTTAACATTTTTAAATGCATTTTATACTATCCCTACCATGTATCATACTATAATTGCTTATTTTCTTGTTGGAATCATCCATTAGACCAAACTGAGTGAAGGCAGGGACTACACTGACCCTATTCTATCCTCTTCTCCCAAAATTAAAGTTCATTTCTAAAGAAAGCCCAGTTAAAAAATATTCCTACAAACCCTGCTGGAATAAATACACCATTAAAAACTATCAGTAACCCTGAGGAGTACTGCTAATATTTGGAACTCAATTTTGATTTAAGCATTCTATGAAGGTGCTCTTAAATAAAAAGAAATAATGGTATGTGGAAATCCTTGGGGGCATTTGTTTAATGTCTATCTATAGTTTACCTGGAACAAAACACAGGATTTTACAAGAGACAGACTAAAAAGACTAGATCCTCATTAAAATATCAGCAACTACAATTATATTAGTAAATGCAGATCAACTCTTAGTTGGATTTTTACAAAGTGACTATACAGTCCAGACTGGAAGTATGCCCATGGACTAAATACTAAGTGGTAGCTATTTGGAAACAATGGCTCAAGAATTCTCTTCAGGTTAAAAAGAAGTCAGTAGAAAACATACCATCTGGTTGGAAGGTTTAAATATAGTTACTATATAGCACATAAAGAACTAAATCATTTCCAAATACTACCATAAGAATCAATACCTCACTATTTTTAAATAGATTTTATGAATGGTTAAGACCACTCGTCAGTATTTGTTAAAATATTTTTAAATGAGTGCCTTCACATTTGAATAACTGGTATCTTTTCTAGATTCCAGTCCATATGTTCATATGAATATTAAATGTTATGTCATTAACATGTAATTTATTTCTGAAAAATCTTAGGTTAAAAAACTAGTATTAAAATCTAGCATTAGGGCGCCTGGGTGGCTCAGTTGGTTAAGCGACTGCCTTCGGCTCAGGTCATGATCCTGGAGTCCCGGGATCGAGTCCCGCATCGGGCTCCCTGCTCAGCAGGGAGTCTGCTTCTCCCTCTGACCCTCTTCCCTCTTGTGCTCTCTAGCTCTCATTCTCTCTCTCTCAAATAATAAATAGATAAAAAAAATTCTTTAAAAAAATAAATAAAATCTAGCATTAATTTTTCTGTTGCAATAAAACATCAGAAATAACCTTCATTTGTAATTAACTGAATGGGTTACCATGCTAATCAAAACTATAGGGTTAATATTGAATTCTATTAAAATAGCTGGAAAAATAAACATACAAAAATCCGCATTCTTAAATTAAAACATTTTATATGTACACATATACAAACATAAAATGTTAGCTAGAATAAAGCTTACATCATTATCTCCAGCAACGTAGAATGATAGAGTCTGGCTCCCAAGATTAAAATCTATCCAAAATTCCTCAAGTTTTTCATCTGAAGGTAACTGCAACTGATAAAACACACATAAAAAACTTTATATACTATGATTTTAAAAGTGACAATAGAACAGCATGACTATGTTATACTCATGGTTGAGTTTTTGTTTTAGTTTTTGTTTTTTTAAAGAAAAGAGGACAAGTAGAGCATTTAAACCAATTTAGAAACAATCAAAAGAAATGCTGCTTTAATACCTTACACAGAAATTAGGTAGCTCCAAGAAATCACAAATATTCCAAGTACAAATAAAGGTTGAAAATATCAGTTTGAATATATTAATGAATGGTAAATCAATAATGGGCTTGACTTAAAGGAAAAAAAAGAAAATCTGAAGTGCAGGCTTTATATTTCAGTTACCCCGGGCTACAAAAATGTCACTTCATAAAATGGCTCTTATACACAGAATACAAGACCAGGTATATTTGTGATCAAGTTATGACTATTTTGAACATTCCTGTCAACTTGTAACCTGTAATTTACTAGACCATGTATCAAAGTTCATCCAATAACTAAAACATGTTAAAGTTAAAACTTACCTCATATTTATCAAGAAATGCTGATATGCAAGGAAATGTAAAGACCCTGAAATATAAAGTAGTTTGCATTAAAAAATATTAATAAGCCTGCACACTGTAATCTTGACTAGCCATAGAAATCATGTCTAGGATCAAAAGGAAATCAGGCTGTGGTCCTAATGATTTAAATAAAAATCATATCTCCTTCTAAACGAAACTATGAATTTAATGGAAATTTGTTTCTGTAGAAAATGTATATTATTTTGAGGATACTACTCAAGCTCCCATTCTGACTACAGTGACTATGCCAATTTACTCTTTATGTTATTGACTAGGAGTAGAAATTCCTAATTTAGCTTATACTATTAAGATAATGGAAGCTCCCATAGGATTTACATGGGACAAGAAGAGTAGGAATGAATAATACAGCTAATAAAAATGACTGAATTTGCCGAACGATATCTTGGTTAGATACTTTTTATTAGAAGCACTTAATATATAATCATCTCATTTAATTTCTACAACAAACATATGAGGTAGATATTATTAGTATTCTTACTTTACAGCTAAGGAAACTGAGGCAATTAAGTTTAATAATTTGCCCAACATTAGAATAGCAAGAGGGGAACCTATGATTCAAATCCAAATAACATGAGTCCCTGCACTCAACCCTCCCCTGTCTTTGTTTCCTTAGTAAGTAAAGTAAATGTGAACTCATTCATCCAAAAAAGATGTCCTGAGCATCTATAATATGGTGCCAGGCAATGAACTGCAAATACTGCTCTGTTACTATCAAAAGTGATAATTATCTTTCATTCATGCCCATTCCTGAGATTAAATAACCTCAGAAAGAGGTTGGCATTACAGTGCATTAATTATAAAAAAAAGATAATTTGTTTGCTATATATTTTTATTCCAGTATGTGGATGAAGGAGGTAGCTCAAATAATGTTTATATGAGATTTTTATTATTCCTCAAAATTCTGCTAAAAAGTACAAAGTAAAATAAGACCAGTGGGAGATTATTTCAGTCTACCATTGTAGTAAGTTATTACATGGTGTTACAATAAGATATTGTTTTAAATATCCCTGTGTATTTTACATCCCAAAAGACAAAATAAATTTTAAAGGTTCAACACTGTGTTCTTCTCCCTTTTGAGCTAGTTCTTTATCAGTAAATGGTTGACTACTGTATTAAGTTTACCTTCTCTTGTCTCCAAGCATGCCATTTACAAGGTTGAGAAATACTCTGCAATCCTAATTTTAAAAAAAAGAGACTTTTAAAAAGCATAGTAATAAAAAAAACCTGTTGTTATTTTGTTGTTTTTATACTACTTACTGTTTCAAATTCAGAGTCTTTAATTCCTTTAAATGCATTAGCAATAAAATCCATTGAAAACCACTGACATGCCAGTTCTTGTCTTTGTTTTTCTGTAGTCATTCTACATAGTGCTTCTACGATACCTACTTGTAAGTCATAATCTTAAAAAAAATTGTTAATGTATTATTGGAAATTATGAAAAATAAGTTTATAAAAGTCATTGTTTATAAGGAATTAGAACAAGCAAGAGAAAGAAGAAAATATTAGTGTCATTCACTCATCTTTTGCCATTTTGTTCATATGGATTAGAAAGATCTCATCAGCTCAGAAATGAATACAGCCCAAATAACAAATTTACTAATAGAAGAAAGGAGTAAAACTTTTTTTTTAAAAGGATATTTGAAAGAAACTCCTAAATATTCAAAGACTAGGCCATTCCATTATTAGAGTTGTGAATTGCAAAATAACTCACATGATAGTCTATAAATCACAGAAACTTTTACTTTATATGATGGTTATAGTTATTCCAAAGTATTTTAACCAGTGGTTTGTTCTATATGTAAATCACTACACCAAAATTTTCTCATATGAAACTTCGAAAAGATTGAGTTCTTTTAATAAACACATTGTTTAAAAACAAATCTGTAAGCCCCCCAAATATTAAACCTCCAAATTCATGAAATACCATTTGAGGAATTTCTTAGGGAAAATAGTTCAAATATGTTAGAAAATTAAGTTATTATTCATAAATCTACCATTAGGCACAATTTATATGTGAAGACTCTTACTGTCATGTTTAATTATTATTTTAGTCTCACAGATATAGATCATTTAATCACCTATTAGTAATTAAAAATTGCTTGATTGTACATAATTTATAATTTCCTCACGTAATCTCACTACATCATGTTAATATTATTTTGACTAAAGAGATATTATATTCTATTAATAAATTTGGAATAATTTCAAATATGAACATTTTGAGGAAGCATACTTACCTCCAGCATCTAAAATCCTTTCTCCCAAACTACTCCTGTAAATCAAAATAATAGATTACATACCAAACTAGTCCCAATTAAATAAAAAACCCCACATATTTGGGGGGAGAAAACTTCACTAAAATTTACAATTGGCTAGTATCACAGACTTTTGCAGAAAATAGAGCCATAAATTATATTAGAAATCTACAACAGTTTATCAGTTTTAATTATTAATGCAACTCATGGTTGTCTTATAGCCTTATAAAATATTCTTTAAATTCTTAACCAGAACCACTAATTAAAGCAATATAGTACAAATTATTACATGAGAATTAACATTTCTTGGTTAAAGAGTATTTTCCTGGCTTCTTGAGGCATTTTGTCAAGCATAGCATTCATTTTTTTTAGAGTCTAGAAAAGAAAAAAAGATAATGCATTAACTTTATATATCCAGTGAAACATTATTTAGAGAAATATTCTAGGTATACAAACTTAGAAGCCTATTTTTTTTCTTAAGCACAGCATTTTATGCAGGGAATTGGAAAGGGTGGAGGAAAAAATATGAAGTATAAAATAGTGAATACAAAAAAACATGAAACAAAGGATATCAAGAATTAAACATAACATGATCCCAGTTACACTCTTTGCAATAAGACATACGCTTATTACTCTATTATAATAACTCAAGCAAAAATTATTACCTGATATTTATTCTTATGTTTATATAAGCATACACACATACATATACTAGTACAAGTCATTTTTAGCATTTAAAAGCTGAGAACTCCTAATATCTGGATGGTATAATTTATTTTCATACGAGCTAGATGCATACATAAACACAAACAGCTATGAATTTTCAATAAATATTTGGGTAACATAGTTATCACATCGGGCAATGAATTAAGACAACAGAAATACACTACATAATTAATTTAGTACCAAGAAAATATAATTATTCCTTTTGATGAATTGCTACTAAATTTGCTTCACTCTCTTGTTTTTAGGTTTAAAAGAAAATCTAACAAATAACTTTACCTCCTGCTGAATACAAATATTCACTCTTGCGTCAATAACCAGGACACAGATTCGAGGCACGAAACTTTCCACCACTTGCCTTTTACCTGAAAGTGTTAAATCATTAATGAATGTGCATTTTAAATGGCAATCTTGTATGCGTTAATGAAAGAGTGTACTAGTTCAGAGAGGCCCGCGGACTGTCCTGCGCAGCAGCAGGAAACGTGAAACCCAGGTCCTACCTCTCCCACTAACTAGCTACGTGGCTTTGAAAAAATACCTTTCAACAGATGTGACTCATCTTAACTCTGGCAAAGGCATAACTTCAGATTCAGCTTCTCCTTTAAGCCCTAAGGTAGGACTTCTTCAGATGAAATAAACATAGTTCAAAAGCGGAAAGTTCTATCGTTAAGTTCTTAATGAAAACTGGCCTCACTGATTTAGTCATATATCGAAAGTTCCATAACGGCCATAAACACTCCTCGACGTAAAGATCTAAATATCTTGACCTTTTTTCTAAAGTTAACCCTATTCTCAAAAGACAAGGCTTTATCAATACTAAATAGATTCAGAGGAATTTGCCACATGCTATTTCATAATGCAAATTTAAAAAATAATTTTAAATAATGGCAATACTACAACCAAAAATACACAACTTTCCAAAGTGACTACACTGAAGGTAAAAAAAAGAACAAAATCACTCAATTAGGTAAAAAGATATATTTACTTAAAAAAAACACTTGGATTACTTCATATTCACTGGTGCTTTAGGATTGTTTTCTTCCCTAAAAACTTAAGAATTTAAGCTAGATTATATGTCAACTATAAAGCAATCAATGAAAAGGTAGCATTAAAATAGCAAGTGAGCTTTTAAAACTTTTTGGCTTTGAAGGCAAACTGTTCCTTTATTTATAAACAATTCACCAGCCTCAATGACCAATCCTAGGTAATTCTTCTTCAACCAACAGAAATAATTTGTTGGAGTACTTGCTTGGCATAAAACAATGACCATTCACAAGTGAGGATGAGTTGTTATGTGTTCTACATATTAAAAATTCTGTCTCATTAGATCAAGAGTTGGCAAATTATGGCCCACAAACCAAATCCACACCACTGCCCATTTTGTATGGCTCTATTATTCATCAGCAGGTACTCTACGGAAATATCTGAATGACTGAACCAGCGGTATCAAAGTGAATTTCATTCTATTCTCATGTACTTAACCAGTATCAGATACCACTGAATGGCTTCAGTAATCAGCATGGGCTACAGAGTTGATGTTTCTTAATCAATTCAAACCAAAATTACAAGGCAAAAATCATTCTTATATGAGAAACTTATACTTCCCTGAAGTCATTTCAATGAAAGTAAGGTTATCTGAATCACAAGTAATGCCAAACTGTTTTATACATTTCCCAGGCTGTCAAAAATTAAAACAAGGAGTGACATCTCCATTCCCACCCAAATTTATAGGAGTATGTTTTTCTAAGCTCCAATTACAGGTTCAGCAGCATTTCTGGACACTGATGAAGTACAAAGGAAATTTCCATATTTCAAAATCCATTTAAATGTTCAGCTGAGGGCTTCCACCTAGCCTTCAGTTGTAAGTGATTCATCTGCGATGCAATGACATTCTAAAAGGCAATATTAAGAATCTAATATAATTCCATAAATGCTTTCCAAGTGATGAACATGCTCAATTAAAAATCAAGCTCATGAATTGATATCAGTATTTGGCATTATCTGCATGAAAAGACATTTTCTAATACAATTTACATAAAATCTCATTACAGATAAGCATAAAAAAATGAACATTTGCAACCAATTCTGATTAAGAGCAAACTAACTCTGAGCCTTAATTAAATGAAATGTCATCCCCTCAAAAGAGTGCTTTCTCATTAGTTGACCTATATTACAAAAACACTGTATTCAATTATTGTAGTATCTTGAATTGTATCAATAAGATATCTGTGGAAATCTGTTTTCTTTCTTGTTATATAAGTACCTATATAATATCCTTGATCTCTTTTGCTTGGCCCTAATATAAAGCTTAAAATGTTTACTATCTGGTCCTTTACAGAAAAAGGTTGTTGATCCCTAAATTAGCTTCCTAATATTAGGATAATACTCTGAGGATTGCAAAGTCATACTAAAACCCTAATAGCAAATTATTGTTTTAAAAGAAATAAAATATTTCTTATACCTTCATCATTGATGTCATGTATGACCTGAAAAAAAGTGAATATTTAATTTGTATTTATTATCTTGTATTATAAACCATTATGTTGTATTGATACAGTAGTAAATATTAAAATAGTATTACAGTAACAGATCACATTTGAATTCACCATGTAATTAACTTTTATTTATTAACTATTTAATTTTATTTATTAATTTTATTAATAATTATTAATTATAATATAAATATTAATATTTATATATAAATATAAAGTAAATTATATATAAATAAATTATATATAATGTATATATACATATAAATTAAAATAAATATTAATAATTACTAATCAGGATAAGTGCTTTATACAATCTGAACAGACTAATCCAATCAAGCCCACTAACCAATCTTTTAGTGACTTTTAGGCTCTGGACATATAGAACACGAATTGTATTTTAAATAAACACATGCTTGTAAGATTGGTTAACCAATGTGATTTTACCATCAGAAGATCAAATAAGTCTTCTATCATATTCATAACTGCCTCATCTTTTGAACTTCCTCGACTGAGAATAATCTCCTTTGATTTTTCAAACCAGGCAACCATGTAAAAAAAGAAATGTATACATTAGTTACTTTGAATTCAATTTTAATAATTTTAAGAATGTACTTATCTTGCATAAACAGTAAACCTAGGAATGAAGAAACATTAAAAATAAAAATTCCAGTATTATATGAAAAGAAATATTGTGTTTTTAAACATCTTTGCTGTTTTCATTTTTTGGTAACTCACTATATTTTAACATTCTTTAGATGGGAATGGATGAACTAATCCTAATTCTAGGCAGAAGACCTTGATTTCCCCTTTCAAATTCCTAGTTCAGGTACATTCACTAATAGATGAAAATAAATTATCATAAATTACACTCTTTTGGCATTATTACTATTTGAAAAGGTTTGGTGTTATTTTACTTTAATTAATTCTTATATTTGAGAATATACTACATCCTAGGTACTGTTCTTACCACTAGGTATACAGAAATGAATAAAACAAATAAAAATCATTATCCCACATTCTAGCATGGGAATTAGATAATAAACAATATAAAAAGCAAAACAAAGTTAGACAGTAAATAGATGAGAAAATAAAGGCCTCAGGAAGTCTTGTGACCTTAAATTCACATGATCATCAAGGAGCCTGGTGTGTAGGGTGTCCTTTTGATCTTTATCTTTGTAACATAGACCTCAGGTTACAAAACTATTTATTTTACCTAAAACTTTATGTAAAGTCCCCAAATGTATATTTCAACAGTTTGAACATTTATTTTATTAGAAAACACACCTTGAATACTATTTCCCCTCACATAAATATTACATATTCTGTACTTATCTTTTGGATCAGTCCTTGTTTTATCATATTTGTAAGTCCAGCTTGCCCCAATATAGTGATATTTCTGCCACATCTTCCAAAAGAAACCAAAATGGTTGAAACTGCTTGGATATCCTTTTTATTAAGCTCCTAAAACAAAAAATATCCATTTAAACATCTGTAAATACAAAATAGTGTGGAACTGGCACTGTGCTTAGGAGTATTGTAATCCTTACAAATCCTCAAAGTTAGCTCCTACCACCATCTCCATATTGCAAAATATGGAAGTGCGCTTTAGAGAAACAAGGCCTAAAGCCACCAGCCTGTGAATGACAAATCCAGTATAAAAATGCAGATTTGTGTAAATTCAAGAAACTTTAGATGATGGTACAATGAATCAGTTACCTTCCATTCTAAACAGCTCCATACATTTAACTAACGGAAATAAAAAATGTTTACTCAATCTTTTAGAGTCATAACAAATCTCAGATACGGGGGGAGATGGTCAATAATCACATTTTCTCCTGCATAAAAATACCTTACATATAATAAATCGAGTCCAGGATTTTGGATAAATTTTGTTTATTTTTGAAAGCACCAAGCACCATCTCCATAACATAAATATGCTGAGAGGTTTTTTAAAAAGTTTTTCAAACTTCAAACAGGTAAACTATTTTTCCTCAGTTTAGGCCACACTTAGTAATGGTAATGCTATGTAAACATAAGTTTCTGTATATTGTATTTAGAAAAGAGTAGTCTAATATGTTATTTGGGACTCTTCAGATTTTTTAAAAAATTAGCACTTATTCATATAATTATAAGCAAGTTTGCCAAAGCCTTTTTATTCATTTCTCCCAAAGGAGTATTTCTTCCTAAAAAGAGTGGTATCCAATAATTTTAACAATCATTCAACAAAAAGGAGTATTTACCCTGCATACAAGGTCATCCAACTTGTGGAAAAACTGCTTGCTGCATTTAATCTTCACATCTTCACAAATCTCAATTTCTAAAAGTGTTTTCAAAGGCTTGAAATCATTTTTCCTTAAAGCATCATCAATGCATTTTTCTAACTGCTAGAGAAATACAGTAATGGCACAGAGATTGAATCAAAACCAAAATTAGTCACCGTAAGCAATCCAGTAATTCAAGAATTGTTGTCCCATGAAAATTCTCAAAAGAGCTTATATCAATTCACTTATTTAAAAAAAAAAAAGCTGTCCACTATTAAATTTGGAGAAACAGAGAGAGATCAAGCTTCTTTCATAATAGCAAGATTCTACATTAAAAATACATATATATTCTACTAATTTTCCACTTCATATCCTTTATTATAAAGTCATCATTATGTCGAGTTCAAAAAAGAAACCTATTAATGAAAGAAATAAAATAAACTTAATAGTAACTAATACTTAACATCATGGATAAAACCGTAACACATCTGAATATCAATTTCTTAATGAGGTTTAAATAGTTTTAAAAAATGCATAAAGAGAGACAAAAGCACTGATTGGAAACTATATCAATATAATTTAAGATTTACATATATAATTTATATTATACATTTATAACCTTTACAAAACCCACCATCCTTACTACTAAAGTATAACATCACTAATAAGGAATTTTTATACTATAATCTGATCACCAGATTTGGTGGTTAATTGCATACATGTTAAATAGATATATTAAAACTTCTTACCAAAATGCCCTGACATAAAAATATCCAGGCATAAATTATACATGAATGACTGCATAATTCTTTTCAATGTAAAAGGCATATGTAAATCATCAGCATCTTTCATACCTCATAAATAACAGATTTTGAAAAGAAACCTACTGAAAAAATGAAAGAGTAACATTTTAAATTATTCCACTCTTGACCATTTCATAAAAACAAATAAGCTTCATTTTTCCTAAAAATATGGCACTTAACACCTATTATCAAACAAAAGTGATTTTAGGAATCAAAATACTTCCGTCCTTTTGGTCTAGGACTACATACCTGGAGATCTGGTCTTATGGGCATTTTGATTTAATTTTAAAACAGCAAGGCAAAACAAACACCTGTAAAACAAAACATATGCTTTCAGTATCTTACAATCTATTGTTTGTTTATTGTTCAAAATCTTAATACGCATAAATAAGCATCGGTGCTTATACCAAAGGCAATAAATAATTTCAAGTTCCTCACTGTTTATGAAATTACACATGTGAACCTGGGCAAGGAAGTTTCTGGAGGAAAGCCTGAAGATCATTTATTCAAGCCTTCTCTTTTTATAGACTACTTAAAAAATGTCGCAAGTCTTGCCAAAGGCCACAAAACTAGTTAGTGAAAAAATACAAACCTGGACCTCTCTCATTAGGAATTTCTGCTATACTTGTTCCAACTTTGGGAACAAGAAGAAAAATAATCTTGAATTATGTGTAAATGAAATTCAGTCTAGTAACATAATATTTAAGAAGGAGAGAATATGCAAGTGTATGGCCAAAGACTAGGCTATATGAGAATAGAGAAATATGCAATGAAAAGAGGAAAAGAAAACCTAAGCACACTGTCCCTTCAAAGAGTAGAAACAGGAATCAACAGGGTTACGCTTTAGCACCACCTACCATGTTTCTTTTTTTAAGATTTTATTTATTTATATGAGAGAGAAAGAGCAGGAGGAGAGGCAAAGGGAGAGGGACAAGCAGACTCCCCACTGAGCAGGGAGCCCAATGTGGGGTTTGATCCCAAGACCTTGAAATCAGGCCCTGAGCCAAAGGCAAACATTTAACCGACTGAGCCATCCAGGCGCCCCAACATCACCTACCATCTTGACAAAAGCATCTACCATTTTCAAGTGTGATTTGGCAATTAGCTCTATAAAGGAAAAGAAAGAGCATCTTTTCTAGATATTATAACTGGAACAATTTAAAAATAATCTGTACTATGAAAAGCTTCATAATAGAAACACCAGGAAATCAACATAGAGAGGTAATTAATTAACCCAAGATGAATACAGGACTACGTATTCATTTGAACAAGTGGTGTTAGTCCCAGCCTACTTTCTTGCAGATGTGCTAATAGAGAAATTTAAGTGCCAATGAGGGCATACATTTCAGGTAGACAAAAGCCATGAGCAAAAAAAAATCTCTTGTATTTTCAAATTAACTCTTGGGGGTAAAAAAAATCGATCCCCAGAGAAACATTTGCTCCATGTGCATAAGGAGCCAAGTCTAAAGATGTTTTTGCAGCACTGTTTTGAGTGGCAAAAATTCAAAAGTACCCAGATAGGAGTTAGGAATAGGAGGGAAGGTGAAGAATGAATAAAATGTGGTATATGATAATCAATTTTGTAAACATAACAGATGAACCAGAATTTTAGATATTTGCAGTCCATTTTAAGTTAAATTAGAAACATGTTGCCAAGTGATACATACTGTGTAATGGCATTTATGTGAAAAAAAAGAAACACGGTCTTATTTATGATTATATCTTTAGGAATAAGTATACACATATTTGTGCATGCTTGTGCGTGTGTGTGCGTGCGTGTCTGTGTGTGTATTTATGTTGAGGTCAAGGGGGAGAGAGGCAGAGGGAGACTCTGCTGGGAGAGTTTGTCAGCTCACTGGGGAGGAAGAGTAGTGAGTTGCATAGGACTGTAAATTGCTATTTGTCAAAGACAAGCTTTATCTGTATTTATGTTTACATGCCTTTTTAAAAGTACAATAAATTCTTGCCAAAATACAGGTAAGTGGGATCCAAAACATGGGATTGGTAAAAAGTAGGTTGGGTTATTGTGAGGGGATGAAAATGACCAAGGCCAGCCTCCACAGTTAAGTAGCTGGGAAGTCCAACTGCTCCATCCAAACCTATTCAGGGCCTAGCTATGATTATGCCCCATCTGGTTGTGCTTGTCTGCTTTGGCCTATATACTAAAGGGGCAATTCTAGGCCCATGGCTAGCTGGGAATTTCCGTATACCAACAATGATTCTAAGATCTCTAAATAGCTGGTAGTCATTCTGTCATTTTGCCTGACTCAGAGAGCTCTGACCCAGAAAATATTGGAAACTCAGGGACCTACTCTTTGCTTCCCAAATTCCAAAGAAGGGGTTTGCCTATTTTCTACTTGGCTTCACTCTTTCCTTAATTCTCCCCAGGCCATCACAGAAATAGAAATTTAGACTGGTTCTGTTTGAGAATGTCATATCACACACTGTTACAAGATTTTAACATACATAGACTCGCTTCATAGATAGAAAATGGGGTGGGGGGAGGGATATGAAAAGTATTATCTCAAATACAGAGGTAAGAAGTAAATACTGGAGGTCAACAAACAAAAGGTTGATTACTGAGAAACAATGTAGGCTAGAACCTTAAGCATCCACTACTGGCACTATTTTCATAAGCCTGAAGCTTAAGAGGGTAACTGTCTGCAGGAGGAACTATTTCTTGGGTGATATGATACAGAATATCACAAAGAAATGAAATGATAAAATGTATACAAGTAAAAGTTGAGATATGAAAGACAGATGCAGACATTCCAATATCTACCCAATAAGAATTCCAAAAATTATATAAAAAAAAATAATGGGGTAGCAACAGTTGAATAACATCCAAGAACTTTCCCAAAATAAAAACAGACATCCACACATTTAAAGTGTCCACAGAATACCAAAGAAGACAAATTTACAAACACTGTGAGGTTATTTCTGAATAATAAAAGAGAAAATCTTAACTCACAAAAGCAAAAACAAACAAAAGCATGCAAAAGAATAACGTAATAGATACCCTGTTCTCACAATAAATTTAGAAATCAGCTACAAAGTTAGCTTCAAACTTTCCCTTTACTTGGAAACTAAAATATGTTCCTTTGCAGGATATAAAAAGATGGAAAAGACTAAATATTTAAGTGAATATGTATACATACAAAAACCTATAAGATGCAACCAAAGCAATACTTAAAGTGCAATCCATAGACTTGGATGAATCTATGAAAACATGAGGACCAGCAGAGGTAGCCCAAAGTACCAGGGTCATAGGACCTCCAGATGGTAAAGTTATTAAACAAATACTTTAAAGTAACTATAAATACTGTGTACATAAAGATTATTCAGAAAGACTGAGAACTTTGGCAAATAACCAGAAACTAGGGTGGGGAGTAAGGAAGGCCACAGAAAATTTGAAAAAGAATCATATAATTCTAGAAACAAAAATAGTCAATTAACAAAGTAAGAATAAAGTGGAAAGACATAGAGATGAAAATTATAGAAATAGAAGCTATATCAGAAAAAAAAATCCAGAAAGAAACAAAGATACACAAAAATAGGAGGAGGGAAACTAGAAGATAGAACAACACAAAGGACAAGTTATGAAGCCCTATGTATCTGGCACTGAAACCTTGGAGATAGTGAATGGGGCAGAAATAATTCCTAGGAAATGATGACAAAGAATTTCCCAAAACCAATAAAAGATATCAAACTATAGATTCAAAAAGCCCCATGAACCCCAGATGGAAACAGAAAGAGAAAACTATACTCAGGTGCACTACAGAAACTGCTGAGAAAGACAAAAACATTAAAAGCTACCAGAGAGTAAAAGAAGATTACTTTTAAGTAGTATCAATAAGACTGATAACTGACCAACAAAACTATGAAAGCAGAAGACTTAGAACAGTATCTTTTTTAAAGTGCCTTAAGATTGGACTTACCCTATGTGTTAGTCTCATATTTTTTTTAATTTTTTATTCTTATGTTAATCACCAGACATTACATCATTAATTTTTGATGTAGTGTTCCATGATTCATGGTTTGTGCATAACACCCAGTGCTCCACGCAGAATGTGCCCTCTTTAATACCCATCACCAGGCTGACACATCCCCCCACCCCCCTCCCCTCCAGAACCCTCAGTTTGTTTCCTGAGGTTAAAAATTCCTATCACTGAGGTCATATGATACATGTCTTTCTCTGATTCACTTATTTCACTCAGCATAACACCCTCCAGTTCCAACCATGTCGTTGCAAATGGCAAGATCTCATTCCTTTTGATGGCTGCATAATATTCCATTGTGTATATATACCACCTCTTCTTTATCCATTCATCTCTCGATGGACATCTCGGCTCTTTCCACAGTTTGGCTATTGTGGACATTGCTGCTATAAACATCGGGGTGCATGTACCCTTTCGGATCCCTACATTTCTATCTTTGGGGTAAATACCCAGTAATGTAATTGCTGGATCCTATGGTAGCTCTATTTTCAACTGTTTGAGGAACCTCCATACTGTTTTCCAGAGTGGCCGCACCAGCTTGCATTCCCACCAACAGTGTAGGAGGGTTCCCCTTTCTCCACATCCCCGCCAACATCTGTCCTTTCCTGACTTCTTCATTTTAGCCATTCTGACTGGTGTGAGCTGGTATCTCATTGAGGTTTTGATTTGGATTTCCCTGATGCCGAGCGATGTTAAGCACTTTTTCATGTTTCTGTTGGCCATTTGGATGTCTTCTTTGGAAAAATGTCTGCTCATGGCTTCTGCCCATTTCTTGATTGGATTATTTGTTCTTTGGGTGTTGAGTTTGATAAGTTCTTTATAGATTTTGGACACCAGCCCTTTATCTGATAGGTCATTTGGAAATATTTTCTTCCATTCTGTCGGTTGTCTTTGGGTTTTGTGGACTGTTTCTTTGGCTGTGCAAAAGCTTTTTATCTTGATGAAATCCCAACAGTTCATTTTTGCCCTTGCTTCCCTTGCCTTTGGCGATGTTTCTAGGAAGAAGTTGCTGCGGCTGAGGTCGAAGAGGTTGCTGCCTGTGTTCTCCTTTAGGATTTGGATGGACTCCTGTCTCACATTTACGTCTTTCAACCATTTGGAGTCTATTTTTGTGTGTGGTGTAAGGAAATGGTCCAGTTTCATTCTTCTGCATGTGGCTGTCCAATTTTCCCAACACCATTTGTTGAAGAGACTGTCTTTTTGCCATTGGATATTCTTTCCTGCTTTGTCAAAAATAAGTTGACCACTGAGTTGGGGTCCATTTCTGGGCTCTCGATTCTCTTCCATTGATCTATGTGTCTGTTTTTGTGCCA